TGTCAGCTAACAGTCTCCCCTGAGCGCCCAAATTCGTGACCTATGTTGCTTTTCCTCAAGTTGTGACCAATAGTGTGTAAGAACATAACCAATTGTTCATCTAGATATACCAAGAAGATATCGTTTATGTATTCTCTTTGCCTAATAACATCCCTAAGTTTGAAGTATGCAGCTCGACTCATTCTTATTTGGCTACGACAAGTCACTTCATCTCTGTGGATTATGGAGCTATACAAGTTAGTGCTCAATGCTCTTCGATTGAGACCCTCATTTCTATGAAAAGCAGTAGCCAAAGCCACGGCAACTGCACTTAAAGTGGCCGCATATACAACAAAATTTACCATCATTCTTTCGAAGTCAGTTGCGTCTCTCAGTTGGATTGTCATTGTAGATATCAACTCGATGGATCTAAGTCAACCATGCTTGGTAAGTTTTAGTTTTTGCGCTTGAAAGCATCATACAATATTGAGCCTCTCGCAGATATAGATAGTAATTTTATGTTCATGCATGGTACGGCCAAATTAGCCTACACAAATCTAGAATAAATCAATACAGTTTTGACATTTAAAAACATCAATATAAACTTCAACAATATTCACCACTTCTAGCACATATTCAATGTAGATTGAATATTCAGTGTAGCACATATTCACTGATGAGCTCCAATTACATCAAATGAGCAAAAGTGACATAAGCATGGCAATTAATGATTCTTGAATGGCAAAAGAACCAGTTTTAGAAATCTCTAGTAAGAACGCTACACCATTACAGCTCTCAATGGATCCAAACACTCATAAAGGTGTTCTCTATCATGTATCCTTCATTGGGAAGAGGACAAGTTAAACTGGGCAGTCACTTTTGTGCACCCAATGATACAAACTACAAACCCCCATAACCAACTAAAAGTACCCATCATCACTACTAAGTGACTTCGGTTGTTTTTCTTTTTTGGCTTTGAGAAAATTCAAGTCAAGTATTCAAAATAATATAAAAAAAGGAAGAAGAAGAAGATAATTAAGAGTCATGCAGGTTCTGGTCTTCTAGAAATGAAGCCTTTCATTGGTGCATGCAAAAGTGAAAATTTTCCTCAACTTCACCCATTAACAAACAATATTTAACGAGCTTCATGCTCAACTTAAAATTCTTGGATGTCATTTGATATTTTTATGAATTGCTAAGATCCAAATTTCTGATAATTCATTTATTTTACTAGTATATGTTAAAAACATCAACTATTTATCCTATCTCTCGAGTCCAAACAAAAGAAAACGAAAAATAAAAACAGCATGTTTGTCAAAAGTAAACAGCCCCTACAATATATCACCACGTTTGCATTTGAGTGCAAGAGTTGGGAAGATATGGAATTTTTAGTTCTTTCCTAAAGATGTTTGTCAAAAGTAAACAGCCCCTACAATACTGATAATCAATAAATCCTAAAATGCCGGTTAAAAAAATGTCAGCGGTTTGTATAGAGCCGAGGCTCTAAACAATCACAGTAAACCTTCAAATAGTGTTGAGAAATGTGGTTTCAATACTGGAAATCTTTGTAGGGGTTTGATCGTCGTCTGGAAGCACACATGGAGGGAGGCAAACCATGTCGCAGACACCATGGCCAAAGCAGCGGCTCTCGGTGAAGGAACTTAAAAAGTTTTGGAATGGGCTTCTTTTCTCTGCTTGCGCTGTCACAATGTGAAGGCCTTTGTATTCCGCTTTCCCCTCTCTATCTCTCTTTTCTCCCTGCTTTGTATCTCTGCTATCCGCATGTGGATAGCTTCTCTCTCTCTCTCTCTCTCTCTCTCCTTGTACTCCCTAAATTAATATATAAAAGTTAAATCACAAAGTGCTAGTTAAAAAATACCCCACAATAATCCAGAAAAAATAAATAGGTATTTACATCGTTCATTGAAATGAGTAGAGAAGATAACCCTATGGTGAAACTAATCAATCTTAATAATATTTCATAAACATCATCTCATTATGAATTGATCATGATGTAGCTGCTGGTTTTCTGCTGCAACAGCAGTAGTAGAACAGAGCGATTCAATAAGTAAAAAATTACGTGGGCAATCGATTCAGAACCAATGCATGGTTCTTGTATGTGAATCATGAACATGCACTAAGAAAAAATGTGTTAAAATTAATCAATTCACACCAAATTTACTAAACCAATTCAAGTAAAGACAATATATGAAGATGGAAATATTTGATGCAGCTTTAAAAGAGTTCTACAATAAAATCAAAATTCAGAGGGGGAAAACAACAACTAAAAAAAAAAATCAGTATGCACCTCTTTACCATTTAAAAAAAAAAGAAAAAAGAGAGAGAATAAACTACCGTGCATCTCTTTAACCATATGACTGAACTTCTAATGTTTTGAGAAGATAATAACCAACCAATCAAATGAGCTTTCAAAAAAACATCTTAATCCAACTTAAAGCAGTATAAAATATGAGAGGTCGACAATAAAATCTGTGAAAACTATATCTATAGTAAATCAGTAATATCAATAAAATTTAATTTTTATCAAATTCGTTTATTCAATGTTTCTATTGGGGATTTTAGTTTCAAAAAGTTCAGCGAAAGATAGTTGGTTGAGCACTTTTCAGGTATTTAGTTTTTAAAATTTATTTGGTGATGGCATTGCTATAACAATATTTCTGTTAAAGAGTGTATTAAAAAATGAATTTAACAAAAAATCATCTAAACATAACAGAAAGCAAGAAGAATAAGCCCAGAATAATTAATTCAATTTACACAGAGAGCAAGAAGAATAACCCAAGATCATCAAAACTAAATCTTCACAAAAAAATGAAAGTAAATACCACAAATTACACGGAGAACACGACTTTGTACTCGAATGGGGAGGGGCAAGCTTCACAGTATATATATTATAAAAACACGAGTGAAACCAAAGAAGCTCTTCAGCAGCAGATGGCTCTACAAAGAGGTGCGAGTGGATCCAAAAAAGCTCTAGAGAGAGAGGAAAGAAGCCCTAGCAATGGCGGTAGGGTTTCGTTCTCAGCGGCGCTCCTACAGATGCTCTCTTTCCTAGAGGAGGCGGCTCAGTCGCTAGGGTTTTCGCTAGGGTTTTGAGAACCACAGGCTTCAAAAATTTTATTCAATCCCATATACCGCAGTAGTGTGACGGGTCCGTGAAAAAAATAGGTTGTTTCCATGCAATGTCAATTCTACTGGTGGCTTGAAATGAACATTAAAGAACCCCATGGAAATTCCAACTCCAACAACAATGCCAATTCTAAGCAAACCAAACACGATTGTTTGGCCTTTTTCAGGAAAAGTGACTCCTAGAAATCTGAATCCAAGGAACCAAACGGGCCCTTAGTTCTCAAAAGTTTGATAAATTTTGAGGAACTATTGATATCTTGACCATTCAAGTTGAACAAAAAGAAATAGGGATCTTTTTCGTTCTGCTAACATCCTGCAAAAACTCATCAAGTTTGTTAAACAATTATACGGGAACCAAGTATTTCAACATATTTTGATAACAATTAGATTACAAAGATGTAACATATTATTGTGCACTTGCTATGAGTGTGCATGTCTGTGTGTGTGTGAAAGAGAGAGAGAGAGAGAGAGAGAGAGAGAGAGAGGAATGTGTGTGAGACAGAGTCAGTCCAAGTTTGGAGGAGTGATAGAGAAAGAGAGTCCAACTTTGTAGTCAATTACCCTCAAACAACTCTCCTTCTCATTGTAAAGATCGAACCCGAGCGACACTGAGAAAGAGAAGAAAGCATCAATATTCATAGTTAAAATTTTCCCTTCTAGGGAATTTGATACCATGCACAAAGAATGTGTTTCCTCTGTATTGCAATACTCTCTCTTCTCCCCCAACATTCCATATATGTCCCCGCAAATGCAAACCCTTCTTCATCCCTGCTACCTCCCAAACGAATTTAAACAAGCCCAGAGCCTTATCCAAATGCCTTATTCCCCTTGTTATCATCTTCATATCAGTCGCGCTCGAAACTTTCCCAATAGACAAGCAAACATCACCACCACTATTACACACTCCCCCACACAAATCCACCTCAATATTCCTGACCCTACCATAAAGATTGTACAGGAGAAGGGTGAATAAGCACTCTGAAGAATGACCCAAGCTTTGAGAAAGCTTCTTTTGCACTAGGCATTCTTGTTGCCGAGCTCTTTTGTAACCGATATCTCTGTCTAGAAAAACATCCTTTATCTGATACAACCCTTCTTTCATGGCCTCCAACTTCAAAACATGTAAAGCCAGCCTCTGCTCCTTCTTTAAGCAGCTTGTCAGGTCATTAAACATCTCGAGCACATCCCCCCATTTGTGAATGGGGGAATCAGGCTTTTTGGTAGTGGTGAGCCTCATCCAAGAAGGAGAATCTAAGCCAAAAGAGCTTTCACTATCATTCAGGAATTTGGAACAGCATGATATGATCTGCTTGCCTATTTCAATTCTATGTTTTGGGGTTTCAATGGCATCAATGTCAAGCTTCAGTTCTTTCAGTAACTCTTGTAACGTGCTCCTCCATATATGCTGGTGCGTTATCTGCCGACAGAGAGTGAATCGAACCACCCTTCTATGTTGGGGAGAAACATTAAGATACTCACATATTTTGGTCAGGCTTCTTAGCACAACAGGCTCTCTTTCTTTCACCTTAGAGAAACAAAAACAGGGCCCACCCATTTTCTTCAAATTATCTTGCACCAAAGGGGCCCCTAGAAAGGCCCTTGTGAGAGACTTGAATTGGACCATCTGCTGCCAGATAGAATGAACCCTAATAATTGAATCATCCTCAGAGTTTATTAATTTTCCATCGACCAGATCAACATAACTCAAATTTTTGCTCATCTCAATTAAAGTTGAATAGGTCCTCTCATACCAGTCAAGTGGAGGCTCTTCCCCATGCGCTTCTATATGGTAATATAGCAGATCAATATGCCAAGGCCATTTCTCCTTTTTATAAGAAGTAATGGCCCTCACAAGTGGCAATTTAAGTGTCTGCATATTATGTGTAGTGTTGTCATTAGCAAGTATACAATCAAATCAACACCCACATTTGAATAAGACCTACCAATATCATATTCCTTCAAAATAAGGCTGAATTTGTTCTAGGTAAAACAAAAGGCTATTCCATGATTCCAAGTGGGGGATGCTTACATCAAACTTTCCTTACTCATAAGGACAAACAAATATTCAAGTCAAGAGGCACCATCTCTTTCAGAAGCATTTCAGATGGGAGAAAATTTGAGATAGATGTTGACTATAATCGAAGACCCATGCTGTAGAGTCCACCAATCAAGATAGTCCACATACCTGCCAAAGTAAAATACAGGCATACCTGATGTTAGGCCTTTATAATATATAAGATGACAAAATGAAGCTGAAAATCCCATGCACAAATAATATCAATCTCCAGACCTCTATGGGGACAAATTTCAAGGTTTGAACTAACAAAAATACTCCATAATCTTCTCATAACTGACAGACAAAAAACTACCACAGGAATATTGAGATGATGACTAGAAATATTACAATGATATATCAAACAATGGCACAACTGAAAGGGCACTTAAAATCAGCACCTCATAGTTGCTTCGAAGGTATGCTTTTAAAGAGCCTTCTCAACCTCTATTAGGCCCATCAATTGTAAGTGGTCTCGTGGGTCAGCTTCCAGTTAGTTACAGATTCCCAAGAACACAAGAATACCTTTTTTTTCTAATTGTTAAGAACTCAAAAGGCCTTTATGGCCCTCCCGCCACTTTGCTGGAATAAGGCGCAGCCAAGGTAAGCTAATGCCTGCAAAAGCCCTTTGGGAAGATAAAATTACAATTACTAAATTTCCCAGAAATTGCCAATAAAGCATTAGTTTTGGCAGAGGTAATTCTACCATAAAACAGGGATCCTGCAAGATCTAGACTTTTATAATATAAAATTTCCTCGATTATGTGGCCCCCAGTCCCATGGCTACAAATGTTTAATACAGCTTGCGTTGGAACCAAATTATATGTGACGTTCACTTATATGCTTCGCATTAGGGGAGAACCTCGATATACTTTCCTAGCACGAGAAACATGCAGATTTCTATACCTTGTGAATGCTCCTACCTTTAAAGAAAGAAGGCTTCTGCTTCTGATATGTGCCATAGAAGACTGTTTTATTGAAAACATCAGTCTAAATGAACTGGCGAGAGTACACATCCTGCCTCCTTAAGCTTCCTAGTCAAATTATCCAGTGTTGCATATATTTCTTCATGCTGTGGATGTGATCTATCTCCAGCAAGAAACACATGAACCTTATTGTTGACCTCAATCCAGCTACATCCTGGATTCTTTCTTGCACCCTTTTCTTTCAATGTTCCTCTAATCCGAGCTATATCATCAAACTTTCCAAAATCAGCATATAGGTTAGATAAGAGCACATGATAACCTATGATTTCAGGATCTAGGTCAAAAAGGTGTTCTGCCACACTTTCAGCCAAATTTTGGTTACCATGGATTTTGCAAGCACCAAGCAAAGAACCCCAAATAAGGGCATCAGGCTCACAAGGCATACCCTTGATCAGTTCATATGCCTCATTCAAATGACTAGCACGACCAAGGAGGTCAACCATGCAAGTATAATGTTCAACTTTGGGCACGATACCATAGTCATCAATCAAGCTTCTAAAGCATTCCCATCCCTCTTTTACCCGTCCAGCATGACTGCATGCTGAAAGAATGCCAGTGAAAGTGGCATCACTTGGTGTTATTCCAACTAGTTGCATTCTAGTAAGCAAATCAAGTGAATCATCAACTAAACCATGCATGCCACATCCTAAAATCATAGAATTCCATGTTGTTTCATCCTTTTCAGGCATCTGGTTGAATATCATTCTTGCATGGTCTATGTCCCCACATCGTAAGTAACTAACAATGAGAGAATTGCAAACCAAGACATTCGACTCTAACCCATTTCGAAAATGATAACCGTGAATCTGTTTACAGTGATGGAAAACTGACAATTGCCCACAAGCCCTAAGAATGGATGATATTGTCACTGAATTGGGCTTCACATCCTCAAGCTGCATAGCTTGAAATGCCATCAACCCATCATCGAAATGATCATGGTGAATGTATCCAGATATCAAGGCATTCCATGAGATCACATCCCTCATGGGCATCCTCAGCAACACCTTATGGGCATGACTTACATCTCCATCCTTGGCATACACATCAACCAAGGCACTCCCAACATACATATCAGTATCGTAGCCCATTCTAATGGAAAACGCATGGACCTCCTTGGCCTTATTCAAAAGACTCAAGGAAGAACAAACCCTAAGCGTAGAGACAATTACCATCGAATCGGCTTGAACACCTTCTTGGCGCATCTGAGAGAAAAAATCCAATGCCCTATATGGGTAAGCATTCCGAGCACAACCCTTAATTACAACACCCCACATCACCAAATTTCTAAAAAAAGCATTCTTAAACACTAGCAAAGCTCCATCAATGCTACCACACTTGAAATACATGTCAATTAGGGCAGTTGCCACTCTTGTGTCCAAGTCCAATGAATGCTTTATGATATGGGCATGTACACACCGACCATGCTCAAAATCAAGTAACTGAGAACATGACACTAGGACACCTATTGCAGTTGCATAGTCAGGTATTACAGATGATATAAGAATTTCACAAAACATCATTAACGCCTTCAGCTCACATCCATAATGAACATAACCCATGATCATCAGATTGTAAGTGACTGCATTTCTTTGTAACAATCCATGAAATACCTTTTCAGCAGCCATGAGATGCCCACATTTCATGTACATATCTATAATTGAATTCCCCACAAAAAGGTCAGAAATAAATCCATTTTTTATGGAAAAAGAGTGGGTTTCTCTTCCATGAAGCAAAAACCCATGAGAAGCACATACAGAGAGTGCAGCGAGACAAGTTTGCAAATTGGGTCTAAGACCACCTAGCAATTGCATATTTTGAAGGGTTTCCAAAGCTTCATTTGGCTTACCCAACCTTCTAAAACCACCAATAAGAGTATTCCACGAGATTACATCTATTTCATGCATTCTATCAAACAATTTCAGTGAACAGTCCATGGCTCCACATTTTGTATACATGGCCATTAGAGAATTCGCAACAAATGTATCGACACAAAAACCAAATTTTACAACATGGGCATGAATCTGTTTCCCTTTTCTTGAATCTGAAATGCCCCCAAACGCCTTTATAACACGTGGAAGTGTGAACTTATCGAACACAACATTCATACTAAGCAGCGCCACATAAACCCTAATCCCATCACCAAATTGTGAATTCTCTATGAGCTCTCGAATCTTCTCATTCCAAACCCGAATATCTTTTCCCAAAGAATAACCATCCATTCCAAAAATTTCAGTTTCTTTTCCACAACTATTCCAATTGTTGCAACCATCTATATAATCATAGTCATAAAAAGACGAATTTCTCCACAACTTCCAGTTTCCAGACTGGTTTTCTGATTCATCTGAAAAATTACAGGTTTTTGAAATGGGAAACGCAGGTGTACTAAAGCCTACGCCATAATTTTTGGAACAAGGAACTAAGGATCTATGTGCCCTTAAATTTGAGCTGTATCTAAAAAGAAGATTGTCACTGATGTAGTTATTGTCGGGGTGTAATAGACTAAAACAGTTTGTACATTCAACCCTAGGGCTATAAACATGAAGAAAGAGAGAATTAGGGTTAGACTGAGCTACCTGGAAATTTGATTCCCTCCCGCAACACTGGTAAGGTGCTGCTACATTTGGTGGTGGGATGAAAGTCCCCATTTTGCATTATCTAATTAGGGTTTAGGGTTTTCTTTCTTTTATGCTCTCTCCCTCCTCGCAGTAACAGTAACCTCCCTGAGATACTCAGACTGGTCGATTGTCAACGAGTCAGGTGCTTACAGAGCGCTATACTCCTAAAGACTCGTGACGTTGAGTCGACGTGAAGTTTGGCGAGTTAGCCATATTATGTTAGCCAAAAGATATCATAATCCCGTGGGAGTTTAGACTGGTTATCTTCTGCATTGGGCAAAACTCACGTACATTTTACATCCCAGAATTTCGGAGATGTACAACTTTAAAAAGAAAGAAAAAGTTTATATACAACCTAGGCTCTAAACAATCAAATTAGAGCCCACCTCAAAAATTTCACTTGAAGAGTTTGTTTTGATGCGTAATATCCTCAAATTGATCATCTCGACATCAAGATGCATGGACATGAGAAAAAAATGGATTTCAACTTTTGGAAATAGTGCATCTTGTACTGTATTTTTGGACAATCAATTTTCAAGATTTTTCTAATTTTCGTAGATCTACTCAATCTATACTATTTTTTAAGCTTTAAATTTTATAATTAAAGATGAAAATATATTTCAAAGCTGTCACAAAGATTTCTATTTTTTAAGCTTTAAATTTTATAATTAAAGATAAAAATATATTTTAAAGCTGACACAAAGATTTTTAGTATTAAAATCACATTTTTTGATACTATTTGAATGTGGATTTTATTTTGATTGTTTAGCCTCAAAAAAAGAAATAGAAGCTTTAAATTTTATAATTAAAAATAAAAATATATTTTAAAGTTATCACAAAGATTTCTAGTATTAAAATCACATTTTTTTACATTATTTGAAGGTGGACTTTATTTTGATTGTTTAGCCTTAAAAAAAAGAGAAAAAAAAAAGGCAATTTACTGTGGATTTAAGTCCTACCATTCGGTGAGAATGGAGTAAGAGATTATGGTATTACCACCGAACCCCAGCTCATTCTCAAAAAAAGTGATAAGTCAGTAAGGATTTGGCCCCTAGCCATTAATAAGAATAGAGTCAAAGATCTCATAAAAAAAAAAATGGATTTCAAGTTTTGGTACATCTTGTAACATATTTTTTTACAGTCAATTTACAAGATTTATTAATTTTCATTAGATTTGCTCTTGATTGTTTAACCTCGACTCTATACAAACCGACCAGAGCGAATTAGAAAACGAATCAGAAAACTAGTTTTAAAGTTGAAAAACCTTTTGATTGATCATCTCGACATCGAAATGTATGACTATGAAAAATAAAAAGATTTTAAGTCCCTTTTTATTTATCCAAAAAAGTGTATTTTACCTTAGGGAGTGACCATAATATACTCCCTCAAAAAAAAAAAAAGCCTTAAATAAAAATGACATGCACCAAAAATGTCCAATTTGCAGAGTCAAAGATCTAGACTTCAAACCATAAGACTAAAATTTTTAATTTAAAAATAATGATCTAGTGATACTTAAAGTGGATCCCAAAATTTTGAACTAAAATAATCCATCTAAGAAGTTATTTTGCGCGAGGGAGTTGTTGTACAGTATGCTACCCCGAGAACATACACTACGTGCTCTACCATGGCATTTTAAGGAAAAACTTTATATAAGGTTGCAACCTTATAATGTAGAGCTACGGATGCACCTCAAAATCCATCAAAAAAAGTAGTTTTAATGTTGAAAAACCTTTTGATTGATCATCTCGACATCCAAATGTTAGACTATGAAAAATAAAAAGATTTTAAGTCTTAGAAATAGTACATTTTACAACATATTATTTACACTATCCCTTCTCAAGATTTTCATATGTTTATAGATCTACTTGATTTTAACCATTTTTAAAATTTAAAACTTTATAATTAGGTATAAAATTAGATTTTCAGATAATCCTATAAACATTTTACATCAAAATTATATACCATGATAAAATTTGAAGGTGCACCTTACCTCTACACCTACGGATGCATCTGTATGTAAACTGCATGCAATTATTAGATAGTGACTATCATAAAGTTATCGAAAACAAATTTATAGGCAATTTTACATTTATAAGATTATCTTTTTAAAAATATTTTTTGATTTAAATAATTTGTAATCAATATTTTTAGACAAAATAGCTGAAAATATGTGAAAAATTACATAAAAAGTTAGGTAATTAAATAATATTGTAAATAATATAAGCTATAGGGTGCGGTTTATATAGAGCTAAGGCTCTAAACAATCAAAGTAAAGCGCACCTTCAAATAGTATCGAGAAATGTGGTTTAATACTAGAAATCTTTGTGATAGCCTTAAAATATATTTTCATCTCTAACTATAAAATTTAAAGCTTCAAAAATAGTGTAGATCAAGCAGATCTATGAAAACTTAAAAATCTTGAAAATTGACTATCCAAAAATGCATTACAAGATGCACTATTTTTAAAACTTAAAATCCATTTTTTCTCGTGTCCGTATATATTTATGTTGAGATGATCAATTTGAGGATATTTGGGCAACAAAACAAACTCTTCTAATAAATTTTTTGACGTGGGCTCTAATTTGATTGTTTAGAGCCTCGGCTCTTTATAAACTTTTTCCTAAGATATATACCAAACAATTTTTTCTTTTGTCTCAATTCAAAAATTTATTTATAAAGCGCGAGATTTACAACAAAGAGCTTACATCTTCAGAAATAGCTAAAGAGCTATACCAAACAATTAGCAGACCAATATTAGATATTGTATATTAATTTTAGATAAAATTGTCTACTCCGAATAAAATTAATTGTCATCCATATATGCACAAAATATTCTATTAAAAAAAATGTTTGATATATACATACGCATTCCTTCCCGCATCAAAAATCCATATTAAAAATGGATGCGGAAAAATGGTGGTCCCACTAAAATTAGATCATAAAAAATTATTATTTTCATTTTTAAAAATCATCTTCCTTTTTATATTTATGTTCAGATGCTCGACCCCTAAATTTTTAAATCGAAAATCCGTCTTAAAACATGAAACCGGTTTCTATGTGGCCAAGCCAGCATATGTAGAAATGTAGACGTCTTAATAAATCTATTTTTGAGATTGATTTTAAAACTTAATTTTTAAAGACATGTAATCTCTAACGTGAAGATCATGAATATGAAAAAATAAATAAAGTTAAAAATTAAAAATAATAATTCTAGTAAGAAAGTATTTGGACTGTTAGTTTCCATTGTTTTTAGATGAAACACCTACTTGTATCCATCTTTAAAATGGGCGCTTTACACTTTCTGAACTGCATATGCAAAAATGCGGTAAGCCCGCATGAAACAATTTTGCTAAAAACAAACTCTGGACTTACGTGAGTCACAACTCATCGAGGCCATATTTGTATAAAGCACGGCCCGAAGTAGCGCAATACGAGGTATTCAGCAACTATATATATGGAAAATACTACGCAACTATAGGCGAAAATGAACAGTGATTTCGTTTATGCTTGTCATCGTCCAAAGTTCATTGTACGGTCATAGTTGTTCGATAGTGTTTCAATTTTTATTTTTTTTTATAAATCGGCATGATCTAAAAATTGGTGCATGTGTTCTTCAAAAATAGGAGAATCTAATAAAAATAAAAATTGACAAAAAATGCCTCTAAAAATTTATGAAGGTATTTTGATCAATTTATATTTTACGAAATATTTTTTTTTATATTTTTATTAGGTGGGTCTCACTGACATATAAACACGCTCCATATTCATATCCTTCCGATTTATAGAAAAAAATGAAAATTACAACACTATCAGACAATCGTGACCGTGCGATGAACTTTGGACAGTGATGAGCATAAGCGAAATCACTGTTCACTTTCTCCTATAGTGGACGGTGATGAAGTGTAGGTGAAGTACTGTAAAACTTCACCTATAGGCGTTTTGTAGA